AAAGAGAGAGAGAGGTAGAGAGAGAGAGAGGTAAAGAGAGAGAGAGGTAGAGAGAGAGAGAGGTAAAGAAAGAGAGAGGTAGCGAGAGAGAGAGGTAAAGAAAGAGAGAGGTAAAGAGAGAGAGAGGTAAAGAAAGAGAGAGGTAAAGAGAGAGAGAGGTAGAGAGAGAGAGAGGTAAAGAGAGAGAGAGGGAAAGAAAGAGAGAGGTAAAGAGAGAGAGAGGTAAAGAAAGAGAGAGGTAAAGAAAGAGAGAGGTAAAGAGAGAGAGAGAGAGAGGTAAAGAAAGAGAGAGGTAAAGAGAGAGAGAGGTAAAGAAAGAGAGAGGGAAAGAGAGAGAGAAGTAAAGAAAGAGAGAGAGGTAAAGAGAGAGAGAGGTAAAGAAAGAGAGAGAGGTAAAGAAAGAGAGAGAGTTAAAGAAAGAGAGAGGTAGAGAGAGAGAGGTAAAGAGAGAGAGAGGTAAAGAAAGAGAGAGGTAAAGAAAGAGAGAGGTAAAGACAGAGAGAGAGGTAAATATAGAGAGCGAGGTAAAGAAAGAGAGAGGTAAAGACAGAGAGAGAGGTAAAGAGAGAGAGAGAGGTAAAGAAAGAGAGAGGTAAAGAAAGAGAGAGGTAAAGACAGAGAGAGAGGTAAAGAAAGAGAGCGAGGTAAAGAAAGAGAGAGGTAAAGACAGAGAGAGAGGTAAAGAGAGAGAGAGAGGTAAAGAAAGAGAGAGGTAAAGACAGAGAGAGAGGTAAAGAAAGAGAGCGAGGTAAAGAAAGAGAGAGGTAAAGAAAGAGAGAGAGGTAAAGAGAGAGAGAGAGGTAAAGAAAGAGAGAGAGGTAAAGAGAGAGAGAGAGGTAAAGAAAGAGAGAGAGACAGAAGAAGGAAACAACGAGGACATAGAGACTGAAATGATCTGATTCTGGTTTTCAGGGAAGTAAAAGTAATGAAGATATGAAATACAGTATTGTGGAGAAAGAAAAGAAAAATCAATTAACATTTATATAAAAATGTATATTTTATACATTTTGTATCCCGATATTTAACTTCTGCACTATTTCACATCTTAAATTCTTACTTTACATTTTCATTGCCATCGACTGCTCTGTAGTTTTTGTGCACATGTAATAAATAACAAACAACTTAAACCCAACAATAATAATAATAATAATAAAAATATGATTTAACTAAAAAAACATGGAAACATTTAAAGTCTTCAAGATTCAAACAGGATTAACAGACTACAGCAGCGGCTCCATCAGGCTGCACTTATACTTAACAGCGCTTTGAGCTAAATGCTAACCATTGGAAGTTTAGCATGCTAGCATGCTATCATGAGCACAAAGGCTTCAGAATGAATGAAGAATCATTGCAAACCCTAGAGACCCGTTGCTAACACGGCTAAAAACTCCGAATGAATACATAAATAAATACTACAGAAAGATAAAAAGCTTCCATCACTGCAAGTTTCTGCTTTTACTGTGTGTGTGTGTGTGTGTATGTGTGTGTGCGTGTGTGTGTGTCAGATTTAAGCCCATGTAACCACGCTCTGACCTCAATCTTCATGCAGAGAGCAGATTAGTAAATCGGGGTGAGATTGGCTCGTAGGCTACAGAGAGGGATTAGTGAGTCTGCACGTGATTGGACGATTGCCCGATTGTTAGTGAGACTCAAGACTGCAGCTGTTGATGTTTATGTTTATGTTGTTATTGTTTATGTTGTTGTTTGTGTTGTTGTTTGTGTTGTTGTTGCTCTGCATTCCTTTTTATTCAAGGAATCATTTTGCATTTTTTGGGAAACACACTTAGTTGCTTCAATGCAGAAAGACGATTGATACCACTCTTGCTCTTGCTCTTGTTTTCTTACTGTAAATATAAGGCTACAGTCAGTTAGCTTAGCTTAGCATAAATGCAGGAAACAGCTAGCCTGACTCTGTCCAAAGGGCTCCATTACCAGCACCGCTAACCAGGACATAAATCAAAGTGTAATGTTCGGATGTTTTGGACAGAGCCAGGCTAGCTGTTTCCTGCCTTTATGCTAAGCTAAGCTAACCACTGACGGCTGTAGCTTCATATTCACTGTGACACAATGCTGAACTATTCCCTCAATGGATGTGTAAGTTGATTAATGATGTTAAATGAATCAATGAAACACTTCCTGCCTCTCCTCCTGTGTAAAGCTGCCCTTTGTTCTCTGCTATTTATGGAACGAGCGTCACTAATCTGACCTGCAATTTCATTTTCACATAAGCTTGTGTGTGTGTTTACCTCACCTGTCTTACCTGTGTGTGTGTGTGTGTGTGTGTGTGTGTGTGTGTGTGTGTGTGTGTCTACAGGTGCTGGCCACAGGTCTGTCCGGTCTGTACTCGTCTCTTCCGGGCCGGCTGCAGGTTTACAGCGAAGACTGGCACTGTCTGGACCAGGCCGACTGGCAGCAGGTAATGATGACCACACAGTGAGTGAGTGATGAATGAATGAATGGATGAATGAATGGATGAATGGATGAATGGATGAATGGATGAATGGATCCATGACAGTAGTGAGTTTGTTGTTAATGAGTGAACAGAAAAGAGGTCCTGTGTGTGAATAATAGAAGGATTAATAGATGACGATGTTTGAGAATGTTTGAGTGAGTGAATTACTACGTTTTGGCTCTGATGATGGCGATAGATGAGTTATTAGAGTTCATCCTCTGGGGAACATGAATGTTTGCACCATAGTTCATGTCAATCCATCCAATCGTTGAGATATTTCAGTCTGAAACAACCCAAAAGATTGTTTCCTGCAGCATTTATTTGCTCCTGCAGAAGATAATATTTACAACCAATGAGTTGCCTTCTGGTCTCTTTCTGCTCCTAAGCTAAAATAATAAACAATAATTAAAAGACTGATTGATCGATGACGTCACTCCTACCTGGTTTTTGGGTCCACAGGTTCCAGCTCTCGTCCACTTCCTGCACTCCCTGGACTTCTGCAGCGCTGTTACCAAGGTAAGGTAACACACACACACACACACACACACACACACACACACTGATTGATGCTACAGCCAGCTGTCTGTCTCTCAGGTGGCTCATCCCTCCATCCGGTCTCAGCTGCTGGGTTACATCTACAACGGCTTCCTGGTGCCGGTCCTGGCTCCTGCTCTGCACAAGGTACGAAGACTCGTTGCTGTTAGCTTTTATCTGTTAGAATAGTAAAAGTAAAGAAGCATCACATGAATTAAAGGCTTCACGCTTCCATAAACGTTAATGTGTGTGTGTGTGTGTGTGTGTGTGTGTGTGTGTGTGTGTGTGTGTGTCAACGTGCAGCTGACGGTGGAGGAGGTGATGACCACCACGGCCTACCTGGATCTGTTCCTGCGCTCCATCTCAGAGCCCGCCCTCCTCCGGAGCTTCCTGTCCTTCATCCTGCTGCACGCGCACGACAACGTGCACATCCTGGACACGCTGGTCAGCAGGGTCAACACACCTTTCCAGGTAACACACGCTTCTTCTTCTTCTTCTTCTTCTTCTTCTGCTTCTTTTGTTTCTTCTTCCTCCTCATCTTCATCACCTCTTCATGCTTCATCGCTCCTAATGAGATGAACCTTTGAACCGTTTCCGTGTCCTTCAGTTGGGCACGGTGTCGCTGGCTCTGTTCAGGACTCTGATTGGTCTCTTCTGTGAAGACGTCATGCTGCAGCTGGTGTTCAGGTCAGTTTCTCTGAACGTAGAAAACAAACACCAGGTATTAGATGTTGGTTCATCTGTGAGAAGAGAACCAATGGTGCTCGTTCTACCGTAGAATAGTAACTCAGTAAGAATAAAGAATAAACAACACAATAAATGTACAGTACAGATCCTCAGGGTGACAGAACAACAGATACATTTTAGATATGATGAATTAATTTGCCAACCTAACCGTTAAGTCTGCATCCTTGAAGCCTTCTCTTTTGTAAAAATCAGATAAACTGTTTGAAAACATGTTAAATAAAGCAAAGAGACACAACTCCGGCGCCCAGCATTGATCAGAGATACTAGCAGTTGCATTGGGTCTTCACGATCTCTTTCGGCAGTGGTGCATGCTGGGACTGAGCGGCGTCCGTGTGTCCTCAGGTATCTGATTCCCTGCAGCCACCTGAGCGGGAAGCAGCGCTCGTCCCTAAAGCGGAGGGACTGTTGCTCCTCCGGTGCCGCCTCCTTCCTGCTCCTCTTGCCCTCCTGGAGTCCCGGGAACCTCCTCACCGTTACCACACACTCAGAGCACATCCACTGGCCCAAAGGAGCAGGTCGGTATCATTCAACGTACACATGTAAGTACTGTCTTAACACGTGCTATCACGCTAACATTAACCTTTCTGTCTGCGTCAGATCTGTCAGTGTCAGACAGCGTTGGTTACTGTCGGGGCTCAGACTTTCTGATGGATGTAAACTACCTGCACTACCTCTGGGACGCCCACCAAGCCATCTCTACTGCCCTCAGGTTAGTGCGTCCTCACCTCCTCCACCAGGAAATCAGGGGACGGACTACAGATCAACCGGGACCTTTTTGTTTAGATGCTGCTGATTGGAGTCATGAATGGTTATTATTTCGTAGTTTTGGCCATATTGTTGTTGTTGGCATAACCTATTATTCATTGGTTTTATTCTGGAGACACAGAGATTCCACATCAGACTAGTGACGGAGGAAACATTGAGTTTTGGGACATCTGCTGGGCATCATTTGGAATTACATTTTTTGGGAAGGATTGAATCACCTGTCGTTTTAAGGCCTCATGGCGACACTAGAGGGAAAATGAGAGGATCACTAAAGTCAGTAGGATTGGGTCTCAGTGGCTCTCAGTTTGATGGCAACGCATCCAGTTTTTGTTGAGTAGTGGTGAATCAACAGACAGATGATCCGTTGATCCAAATAAGATATTATCTTATATGTCCAGCATCTTCAGTTCTGATGAGTTCTGCTTTGTCTGCAGGGCTTGTCGGCTCTGGTCGTCTCCGTATGATGGGATCGACCCTTCACCTCAAGACTTCCGATCGGACACACCCAGGGACGACATAGAAGACGAGGATGAGATCGTACGGCGAGTCAACAGTGACTCCATCTACTCTTTCTTCATCGCTCCTCCGCCCTCAGCCCTCTCCCTGACGCCGTCCTCCTCAGATACCTTCTCCACGGGCAACCAGGCAGGACGAGCCAGCTCCGCCCTGGAGCTGGAGTGGGACGACATTTTTGCAGACAACGATCCCTCTTCGCCAGCGTTGACGGACGCGGCACTAGCGAACGGCGGCGTGACCGCGGAGGTCGACAGATTCGTCTCGACACCTCAACACATCCAGGAAATGCGACGCACTGCGACCAAGCTGGTGCGTGGCTCGTACGTGGAGGAATCCGAGTTCGAGGACGACGTTCTGGTCTACAATCTAGTCGCCCAGAGGGAAACGAAGGCGGACATTTTGGAGCGAATCATGGCGGCAAACCGGCGGGCACGCGGGGGCATCTCAAAAGGCCAGCGGGTGTTGACGGCGACGGCGACGACGATGACGATAACAACAATGTTTACGACAACGGGAAAGACCGTCATAGAAACGGTTAACAGTATAATGTCGACAAGGAGGAGGAGCGAGGACGGAGGGAAAGAGGAAAGAAGGAGCGAGGATTATGTGAAGGAGGTGAGGAGGAAGAGGAGCGAGGATGGAGGGAAAGAGATGGGGAGAAGGAAGGAGGAAGCAGAAGATGAGATAAAGAGGATGGATGTACAAGGAGGATGTCAGTTTTTCACCAACGGCTGTAACGCTCAGAATCACATCATCAACGAATGTGATGATACGGTCGAAGACAACGAGACATTTAAGCAAAACCTGAGTGACTTCAAAGCTACTGTCAATCACGAACATCGCAAAACACAACATCCCACACCATGTTTACCGACTTTACCCAATGGCCACACTGAATTTGAGCCACGTGACCCTTTGGCGACCGATGCAAAGTCTCCAAGTCCACCTGGCAACAGAGTCGCCAACAACGATGACTTCCTGTCCCAATACCACAAGCTCATGCTCTCTTTAGGGGTGGACCCGGACTGTGACGACGTCACTAACGACATCAACGCTTTCAGGAGGCGGGTGCGAGTGCTGAGGCAAAAACTGGAAGAAGAGGAGGAGTCCTTCTTTAGCTCCTCGTGGGATGACGGAGAGGAGGAGGCGATGGAGGAAGTGGAAGAGGAAGGAGAGGAGAGGAACAGTAGCAGTAAGAAAGGCAGCAGGAGGCATGGAGTTCCCTTTACAGGTCTGTGTTTTCAACCACGACTGAATACGATGTTGAAGTGAGTAGAGAAGCACCTTGAAGGGGCTTTATTGTTGCACAAAAGTCAGGCTCAAACTTAACGAGCGAACAGAAAGGAAAAGTGGAGGAAGTGAAAAGTCGGCCACCAAAAAGAGGAGAGAGTCACAATGTAAATGTAAAGATAGCTGATAAATAATGCAGCAGAATAGTTTTCAATTTGACCTTTTCAGGTGACCAATCATTTCTTAATGCTCTACTCTGGTCAACATAAAAGCATTATGCAAATATCATACAAGTGTAAATCCAACTGCTGTGCAGAAACTCATCTTTTAAAGATGCAACGACATTGGAATATTTATTTGATGAAGAGTGCAAGTTGAAGAAACGTGTGTAGAGCTTCATTTATTCTGTTGGCAGTAAAGAAGTTGCACATATTCTAATTTACTGAGATGTATTCTATAGTTAACAACGGTTGGTTAATGTTTTACTTGGAGACCCATTAAAAGTGACTTAAAGAAGAATACATAAAGTAATTAAGAGGAAAATGTCCAAAAACAATAACAAAGCTGCGTTGCTGTCGGGCCATCACAGTTAAAATCTCTTCATTACTGAATAATCACTTTTATTGGTTCACTAACCTGTAGGTCCGTTCATCAGCGTGCTGTTGTCCCGCCTCGAGAACCTCCTGGAAAACTCCATCGCCGTGAACCTGCTGGTGACGGGCATCCTGGCCCAGCTGGCGTCGTACCCGCAACCTCTTCTGAGGTCCTTCCTGCTCCGCACCGACGCTCACGACCATCCCAACGTACGCACACTGCACCAGGTAACATCCACGCGTCATGTACGTCTGATGCCAATGCTTCAGGCCTCTAAATGATAACGACGGGGACCCTTTTATTCCCGTAGGTGTTGGTGTCGGTGCATGCTCAGATTGAGCGCTACGTGGCGGCCAGGCCGGACTTCTCTGCCCTGGTTACTCAGGCCTGGAGGTTCTTGTTGGCTAAAGACCAAGACAGCAAGTTTAGAGGTTAATGAACACACACACACACACACACACACACACACTTCAACACACACACAGATGGGACAAGAAACCGCCCCAGCTGGAGGTTTTAGTGCCGGAATAAAACCAGGTAGTTTATGTAGAAGTTACAGCAGCAGTATTAATGGGTTTATTATGTTAGTTTGCTTTAAAATGGTTAGATCAGAAGATCTCATTCTGTGTCCATTAAATATGAAGCTACAGCGAGGAGGCGGTTAGCAGCGACTCCAGGAAGTTAATCGTTAATCCTCCCGGTTGCTTGTTTACAAATCCTACTCAGGCGGTAACCTCCGGTCCTGCCGAGTGAAGCCAAAAACCTGCATTCTCTCTAGTGTCCACCAGGGGGCGACTCCTCTGGTTGTATAGAAGTCTATGAGAAAATGACTCTACTTCTCTCTTGATTTATTACCTCAGTAAACATTGTAAACATGAGTTTATGGTCTCAATCTCTAGTTTCAAGTCTTCTTCAATACAGCATGATGTTCATTTAGTACATTATGGTCCATTTAGAGTCAAACAGACCATGAAGCAGGGGATGCTTTAGGGCGGGGCTACTGTGATTGACAGGACTCTACCATGGTCTAGGGGCCGTATGGCTTTTTGTTGAGGGAACCAGTGACGCTAACCTCCTGTGGGCAAACTAAAATACGACATCCGCTCTATGTGCTGCATGAATTCAAAGTCGTATATTTTCAGACACAGTTTGTCGATCTTTGTCTGAAGCCGTCTCTGTCACGTTCGTGTCCCAGAGTGCCTCCAGTCTCGGGGAGGCGACATCATCCTGGACCCGTCTCTCCCCAATGGCTCCGTGAGGACCGCGCTGGCCTTGCCTCCACTCGCGGCCCTGCCGCCATGCCCTCCCATCCCCCCTCAAGCCAAGAGCCGAGTGTTCGCCATCGTCCTGTTCGCCGAGTTCCTGAAAGAGCTGGCCGCCATCGCCCAGGAGCACAGCGTCGCACTTGAATGCACTGCGGAGGAGTGACTCACCGCCCCCGCCCGGCTTTAAATATCTGAGAAACTGCCAAGCACAAAACATGCAACACGAATGATGTCACAGTATAATATTTACATGTACAGTATCTTTATATTTCTAGCAGTACTTGAACATTTTCCCCGTGTGAATACGGATGATATTTATATGTTGATGAATATTATTTTGAAGAGAAATCAAGTTTTCTATATATTTGTGGGATCAAACAGTTTTCTACTCTGTTTTCTGAACTCTTTGCACTTCTTGATACGGAACAAATGTTGGTTATTTCAGAGTTTTATTATTATTTAGTCTTATTTCAAAATGCCTGTGTCGGCCATTTTAAATCAACCTCATTTGAGTAGTAATAACAGTAACCTTAATCGAACACATTGAAGTGACTTTACAGCAGATGTTCTAAACATTTATCAACACGTTAACTTGTCTGCTAGCTATAGCTGCTCGGGCTGAAGGTTTGGAAATTCAATTTGGAAATTTAGACACAAACATCTTGAAAAGAAAAGCTTTACCTGCTCAACTTAATCATTGTTTATGCTTTAACAAGCTACTTCCTTCTTGTTGCTCCAAAATGTCTTCCTTTTTGTTTTTTAGAGCAACTTTTTGGTTTTGAAGTAATACACAGCATGCGATAGTTGCCGATTGCAACCAGCTGAATCTTCTCCCGTTACAAGACTGCAGATCGAGAGCCGCAGAGTGCAAAACTGTGGTAACGCAGTAACACGGACCCTTTTACAGTTTGTAGACAACGACGACGTAAGTGTTAGCACACACGTGTTCTGGTTGTCGGCTGTAAACGGGTTCATGATAAGACTACTTTAGGAGAGGAAGTCAGACGGCCGCAGTTTCACAAGCGTGGAGAGAACTACGGTGGCCTTCAGGTTACCTAAATATATAAGTGTTTGGTTTGTCCTTTCTGGGCTACTGTAGAAACGTGGCGGTGCAACATGGCGGACCCCGCCACCCGCTTCCAATGTAGATATGAAGGGCTCATTCCAAGCTAACGAAAACACAAGGATTCTTAGTTTCAGGTGTTTAAACACTCATGAAATCGTAGTTATCAATATTATATTATTATATATTCTGATAATAGATCCCCTGACATGCTACACACACTGGCCCTTTACAAACTAAAAAAGAGAAGCTCTTCAGTTGTACAGTACATCTTTGTTTTGTCCCCCCTGTTGTGTTATTGAGCTGATTCACCTCAACCTTTGAGCACATGTCCAGTAAATGTCTGCACCAGTTGTTAACTATTTGTCTTTACTGCTGTAGCTGATATTTGTGGATTTTTACAGCACTTTGAACCAGATGTATGACGTTTTATTACCTAAAATGAAAAGGATGAAACGGGCAGAGCATCTGTGATTGATTATGTCAACCTGTTTATGTTTTCCTTTTGTGTCTTTATCTGCACACACACACGCACGCACGCACGCACACACACACACACACACACACACACACACACAGAGTAATGTCAAAGCCTTACTTTAACCAACACTGATATTTTAGTGCAAGAAACCAAGATGCAACAAATGAAATTAACCTAAATTCTTATGCAATCGCCAGATGTTGATTTTTCTCATTTGCTCTTCTATCAACGTGCATTTCATTGTTTTCAGTGTAAAGTGTGTCATTTGTTTTTGTTGTCAGGCTTCTACGGCGTTCTGTGTGCAAAATCAGGTCGAGTGTGAAATCAGACATCGTTCAGCAAATACAGCAGAAATACTTTTCTTCTCAAAAGATGAATAAAAAGTGACAGCAACTGCTTTTGCCGCTTTTGATGCGACTGACTGCAGCCTTCACACTGCCAGCCTCTCTGCACAGTGCACACTGTGTTACCATGGGGGCGTTATGGGATGCACTGCCGTGTGTTGATGCTGCCTCCTGCTGGTGAAGACCAGCTGGGCCTCGTCGCTGCTCTTTACCGTCCTCGTCTCTGCTTTTGGAATAAATTATTGCCAAAATGACGTAAAAATAATAAAACTGATTTTGACAATCTGATTTTCAGAAAACATCCTGGAGATGTGTTTGTGTGTTTCTTGTTGTATTTGTCATTAATTACATGATGCACTAATTCAAAAGGCTTCCTAAATGTATTTGGCTCCTGTCCAGTGGAAACCTCGTATCTCCAGATGTGGTATTAGTGTATTAATACTTTTACTGCAGTAAAAGATTTCTGTCTGCAGGGTCGAACACTACTCTTTGATATAAGTACGTCAATATACAATCAGAAAGATATCAGCTGAGACAAGTCCGTCTTCTCTTCGAGAAGCTGTGGTGAGCTAGTTCCTGTTGGTAACCTGATTATGTATTGAGGTTACACAGACGTGAGGTCACAGATGGCACAGAGTCGGTAAACTTTGGTGTTGTTCAACGTTTGCAGGAGAAGACGAGGAGGACAGGAGGTGATGATGAAGAAGGTTTACCTGCTGATATGGGTTCTCGGTGAGTCAGAGAAAGAACTGTTTGCTCTGAAATATCTCTGCTTCATTGTAACACAAGGATTTTATTTCAGTTTGGATCAGTGAGGTAAATCTCTTTCATATCATGTCTTCCTTCAGACTAGTGGAAAGAAAACGTCCAAAATATACATTTAGGTTTTTATTTTACTTCTTTATCTGTTTGCGTCTGTAGATTTATCTTAAATTTACCAAAAGTTACCATTACATAACGCCTCATTAACATATTGAAACATAACATTTCAGTAAACTTTTAACACAATAAATACTCGTCTTAATGTGAGTGATGAAGTGGTGAAGTTTCATGGTGATATCTGTGAGTTCATGTTGTGACTCTATTCACCTGTAGAGTCTTCTTAATGTGAGTGATGAAGTGGTGAAGTTTCATGGTGATATCTATGAGTTCATGTTGTGACCCTATTCACCTGTAGAGTCTTCTTAATGTGAGTGATGAAGTGGTGAAGTTTCATGGTGATATCTATGAGTTCATGTGTTCACCTGTAGAGTCTCTAAATGTCTGTAATGGAACTAAACGTCTCTTTAAAGGCCGTTTCCTCTAAATGAGTTTGTTCTCAGACTCTGATGATAAATCTCCACTTCAGCAGCTCTTACATTCACCAAACTTCACTCGTTCATTCCTCTCTGTGTGCTGAAGGTTCACACAGAGGGGTTAGTTCACACAGCACTCACACACTCATTTATACTACATCCCCTCTTTAAAAACCTTTGACAACAGTAGAAAACAAGAATTATGAACATCTTTATCCAATGTCCAGATTTATGTTCTGGATAAACAAAACTAAATTATGTTTATTTTTCAGACTTCTCACTTATCATTGCCTTTATCTCTGATCTAAAATGTAAATTTTTTTTCTGGGAAATTTCCATTAAACTACTCACAACTTACGTAATAACTTATTCTCGCTGTTACAAGAGTCATAAGCAGACATGCTTTGTATTGAGGGGTCACAAATAAAAACAAAACAGCTTGTTGTTGCATTTTAACACACTTTGATTGCTCTTCCTGTAGGTGCTGCAGCTGTTTTATTAAAGGGAGACGATGATTACGATAACTTGGATTTTTCAGCATCTGGCAGCGGTGAATCAAGCTTCGACCTATTCATACCTTGGAACTTGACACTCACACGTCCATGGCTAGTTCAAAATGACTCTTCCTCTCTTTCTTCCTCAGGTAACCTCAATCTACTCCATGATCACTCATTTGTTTTATTTATGTCAACACTATGATAACTAACGTAGCCGATCCGTCCAACTCTTTAAGATGTATTTGGGGGAAGTTTACAGTTAAAGTTGAAAAAAGAAACAATAAAGTTTACAACAAAATCAAACCCCTGTTCTGCTTATCCAAGTATGTATTTCTAAAATAAGCTTCCAGACATTTGACATTTTTCTTTATCATACTGTAATATAGGGGCTATCAAGCTAACCGGGGACAGCCAGCCAACTGATAGAGGAAGTAATATGCCATTCGTTGAGATGTGGATCGTGAAGGTGCAGCGTTTAGGTTGGTGGATGGGTGTTTTACATTCATCTTTAACCATAATAGTTTGTTTGGCACAATCACAGTCACATAGAAAGCGAGAAAAAAACATTGTTGTTTTTGCAGAATTCTCCAGTATCTACGTTCTCGTCTTCAAATAGTACAAACTACGACAACCATACATTTTATGTGCCACATGAATTTGAGCTTAGATTTCCAAACATAGGAAGCTATTGGTACCAATCACTTTTATTTAACTTCCTGAATCTAAGTTACAGTTAGCAGCTAGCTGGAGTGCACCTCGACCCCTTCAATAACTCTTTCTGTAATGAAATGATGTACAACTCTGAGAACAAAATGCCAGAGAAAACAAAGCCTGTGGTTAAATAGCACGAGCATTTTTCTGGCTTGCTAGTGTGTTAGCTGTTAGCTTACCAGCTCCTAGAGTCAAAGACGGGTAAACCTTGCTGTGCCACTTTGTGGTGTGACTGGGCCTTTTACTCATTCATAAAATGTTCTGTCCCTCGTGTTGTTACATTTTAATGGCTCACCTGTCGTATCTCTCTACCTACAGATGCAAGAAACACCAAGGACTCTTCCTCCTCCTCCACAGCTAACCTCCACCCGCTCTGTCTGGTCTATGTTCTTTTGGTTCTGTTCATGTTAGCATATTAAAATAGAATCTTCTTTAATGATAGACTTAGTGAATACACCTTTATCTCTGAATCTCTTTATTTTATCCAGCCAGGATATGATTTTGTTTGCATTGCTTGCTGGAGTTATTGCGATGTGTCTGTATGCAGACGATGCTGCTCATTATCTTTAATTTGCTTCCGATGTACATTATAAAGTAACTAAAGTGAAAATGTTTCAAAGAATTTATGAGTAAAAATGTTTGATCAATAAAGTTTGATATAATTAATAATAATAATAAAGTTTTTATTTTGTTGTGGATTTCAATAGAGCAGGTCCATTACTTTTGGGTACTGGAACTAATTTCAGTGTTTACTTTATTATTATGGTTTTTACTTACTAAATTAATAATAATTCAACGTGAAATACGATCTTCAATTGCAAAATTAGAAACACTGAACCAAAAATATCAACTTTTCAGGAATTTAACATTGATGGCACAGAACATTTTAGTGCTAATCTATTCAAATGGAAACGCTTCTGAACTAAAGTTAGTTAGCTACTTGGTTCAGGTTAGAAAAAAGGTCATAACAACGCAACAACGTACCACAAAAACGTACCGCAAAAACGTACCGCAACAACGTAACGCAACAACGTAACGCAACAACGTAACGCAACAACGTAACGCAACAACGTAACGCAACAATGTAACGCAACAACGTAGGCCTACCGCAACAACGTAACGCAACAACGTAACGCAACAACGTAACGCAACAACGTAACGCAACAACGTAACGCAATGCAACGCAACAACGTAACGCAACAACGTAACGCAACAACGTAACGCAACAACGTAACGCAACAACGTAATAACCGGAAGTACCGGAATTAAACAACCGTCTTTAATATACTTTGTTTTGTAACGTCACGTACAACAGCATCACGTAACAAGGCAACGTTGACTTTTGATTTCACACCAGAATAGAGCAAGAACAGCGGTCTCCTTGGTGAAAGTCCTTTGTTTGTTTCGTGGTATTGATACTTGTGGGATCTGAGTACTTCTTCCACCCAATCAGACTCTAAAATCTGACATTTTTTATCAAAATCAAATTCCACTGGTGCTGCTGTTGACATCACATCTTGGCCAGTTATCCAAAGATTGAAAAAAACAAAAAAACTAGATGTTTTAGATAAGTTTCTCAACTTGTTGAGAAGTAAGACATTCTTAGACTGATCTGAAATCAGTGAAATCTTTA